CAGAGCAGTAGCACAGACTGCCCAGAGAGGTGGGGGAGTCTCCCCCTCTGGAGCCATCCCAAACCCGCCTGGACGCCGTCCTGTGCCACTGCTGGAGGTGCCCCTGCTCTGGCGGGGGGTGGCATGGGGGAGCTCCAGAGGGGTCTTCCAGCCCCCACCAGTCTGGGATTCTGTTATCCCAAGGATGCGTCGGGCCAGGGTGGGTCTGAGAGCGAGGTCCCTCCTCTCTAGTGCAATTTAGCAGCTGGCTATCAAATTGCAAGCGATTTCTTCATCCAGGAAGGCTTGTGCAAGGGCTGTGCAGGTTGCTCAATGCTCTGGCCGTGGGCCAGGCTGCAGGGAGCGCGTGGCCGGGGATGACAGGGCGAGGACGTTCTTCGAAAGCCGCGCTTTGGGGCTCCGGGCAGGGGCTGGTGCAAGTCGAGGAGATGAGCAAGAAAACAAGGAAAGGGGTGAAAAATAAATCCTGGGTATTGCCTGAGGTGGGACCTGGGGATCGTGCAGGATTTGTGCTGGAAAGGGGCTGCGGAGCCCAGCCAAGCCCTGTGCTGCTGGCTGGGAAGATGCTACTTCACTGGAAGAAGTGGTGGTGCTGGTGGGTGGCAGGTTGGAGGAGGGGGATTTCCCCGCCTTGTAACGCTGGGGAGAAGGGCCAGGATGGTGTCAGGAGCTGCACGGTCCTGTTAACCCTTCAGTGGTCGCCATCTCAGGGCTGCCCGCAGCAGGGCAAGAGGTATCGACCAGGTTTGGGAGACTCTTGTCTGGGGCGAAGCCAGCAGAACAGATAAATATCTTGCACCTGTAAATATCCATTAGATAATTCACTTTTGGGCCATCCTAGCTAGCATGAGGCTGGCTGGCTCTCCCAGAGAGGCTTTTGAGGAAGTTTTTGTGGTTTTTATAGCAAAAGTCATGCCCTCATTCCTCCTCCCTTTCCTGGGTAACGTTCTCTGATGATGATGATGATGAGCTGTCAGCCACTGAGGCAGGAGCACGTTCCCCTTCTGAGTCCTGGAGAAAAGAGGCATTTTGGTTAAAAATCCAGTGCCCCAATAAATAAACCCCACGGTGCCCATCACCACTGGCTTCACCTGCATCCTCAGCACTGCACAGCCCGAATCTCCAGGCAGGACAAGATGAGGTTTGTCCCTTGAAGGTGCTGCAAACTCTGGGTCATTAATTGCTCCCAAATCACCTTCTCGGGGTGGGGGGTGGGGGTCAGGGAGGTGCAGGGGGAGCGTCCCATCTCCTAAGTCGGGGTTCGTGGCTCTCCCTCCACAGCTCATCGCGCTCACACGGCCCGTGGATGCCCACCTGGAGCACGTGGAGTTTCAGGCTCTGCTCCAGCGGCTCAGCCCCCACCGCATCCTGCTCATCTTCGCCTCCGCCGTGTTGGAGCGACGGCTCATTTTCCTGGCAGAGGAGCTGAGGTGAGTCCTGGTCTGTTTATTTTAAAATAGAACAACAACATCAACAAAAAACAACTTTGAAGGAGCACAGGATGCAGCTGAGCTCGGGGTGGGATGTTCTCCCCAAGTGGTGAAATCCCCTTTCCTCCTGCAATGCCACCACGACGGCTCCTTGTCCCGCAGCGTCCTGTCGCAGTGCATCCACGCGGTGGCTGCTCTTCTCTACCCCTTCACCTGGGCTCACACCTACATCCCTGTGGTCCCTGAGTGCCTGCTCGACACTGTCTGCTGCCCCACGCCCTTCATGGTCGGCATTCAGAGGCGGCACCTGGAGCGGGTCCTGGACCAGCCGATGGAGGAGGTATTTCATCCGGGCGAGGGAAAACATCTGGATGGAGCCATCAGTTAGCCTGTGACCCTGTGTTTGGGTCACTCCAGGGGTGAAGGCTCTGGTTGTTCCCTTTTCCCATCCAGGGAGGTTGGAGATTGGGGCTTCTTGCATGTCCCCTCCTGTTGGCACCTGGGGCAACATCTCCATGTCCCCCTGGGTGCTGCCGGCCACCCCAGCCCCCGCAGCCCTCACCCCGGGGGCTCGGGGAGCTGCTCTCGGCCAGGCTGGCTGTCGGCATCATCCCAACCTTGCAGAAGTGGACAAGAGCTGCGTGGGGAGAGCCACCGAGCCTGGGGCAAACACAGTCCCTGGGGGGGATGCCCTGGTCCTCCTGCCCAGGTGCCTCCAGCACAGGGGGACTGATCCCTCTCCTGCCACCCTCGTGGGCTGCAGACACAGCGGGCTGATCCCAAAACGGGTGGGAGGAAGCCTGGATGCCTCGGTTGGGCTAAACCTGGTTGCTCTCTGCTCTTTTTCAGGCTCTGATAGTTGACCTCTGCGAAGGGAAGATCATCCGGGAGGTAGGTCCTCCTGTGCAGGGCTGGGGTGGAGCGGGGCTCACCTGACCTGGGTAGCCCCGGGAAGGGTCCATTTGCCCCTCGGTGCAGCTACTTGGCAGCTTTCATGTTTTGTGGTCAGAGACAGCTCGGTGACACCCATCCGGGTGGGAATGTCCCGTGAAGGGAGGTCTCCGTCCACCACATCTATCTGTTGTGAGCTGGAGCAGCAGGGTCTGAGTGTTGGGCATCCCCCTCCCAGCATCGCTGCAGCACCCTGCACTGATAATTAAATAATAAGCTCCACAGAAAGCTCCGCTGATGGGCTGCACTAAGCTCTGCCCGCGGCCATCTGCGTAGGGTTCCCACCGGAGCCGGGTGCTTCACATCCCCGTTGCCTTCCAGGTGGGTGATGAGGAGGAGATCTTGCCCATCAAGCTGCAGAACGAGATGCTGACGTCTCTGAACAGGCACAACAACAACAACAACGTACACAGTAAGGACGTCTCTTTATATATGGTAAAACGGATGCAAGCTGCCTTCCGCAGATGGCCAGAGTCCTCAGTGAAATGGTTTTCCTGAAGAGATCTGGCCTGGGATGTTTCTGCCCCAATTTGCAATAAAATGCAGCCACAGGAGAGAAATCCCTTGGCCTTTCCC